CTGGTCTGTATGAGGAAGAATGTGGCATCAGGATTGGAGGAAGATTCATCAACAACCTACCTTATGCAGATGATACAACCCTGCTTGTTGAAACTGAAGGGAACTTAAAGTGCTTGCTGCAGAAGAACAAATACTGCAGCCTTCTATATGGATTGAAGCTCAACATAAAAAAAAAACCCCAAAGATTCTCACCATTGGAACAATTGGCAGTATTATTATGGATGGTGAAAAGATTGAGGTTTTGAAAAGCTTGGCTGCACAATCAACACTCTTGGTATCAGAAACCAGGAAATTAAAAGACAAATTGCACTGGGAAAGTCAGCTGTCAGTGACCTCTCTATAGTACTGAAGAGCAACAACATCAGTCTGGATACTAAGGTGTGCCTGATACAGGCCATAGTCTTCACAATTGCTTACTATGCATCAGACAATGAGTAGGGATGAGAGAGAACTGATGCCTTTGAGCTGTGGTGCTGGAGAAGAGTGTTGAATATACCATGGACTTCTAGGAGAACTAACAGGATCATCCTAGAGAGGGTGAAGCCTGGATGCTCCTTGGAGGCAAGGATTCTGAAGCTTCATTTGACATACTTTGGACATGTTACAAGGAGGAACTGGTCCTTGGAGAGGGACGTCATGCTTGAGAGGGTGGAGGGACAGTGCAAGAGAGGAAGACCCTCTATGAGATAGATTGATTTAGTCACTGGGATAATGGGGGTAGGTATGTAAGTGACAGTAAGGTTGGCACAGGGTAGAGCAGGGTTTAGAGCTGTTGTACATAGGGTCGCGATGAGGAGCAGTGACTCAACAGCACATAACAACAAGAACAAACAATTCACAACAAATCATAGCTAATTTTGAGAACAATGGGAATCCCAGAACATTTGATTGTGCTCATGCAAAACCTTTTTTTTTTTTTTACCAGAAAGCAGTAGTAGTTAGAATAGAGCAGGAAAACACTGCATGGTTCAAAATCAGAACAGATCATTCAGAAGACTGGATTTCCTGAAGCAGAATATTCTATCAGGATTGGAGGGAGACTCATCAACAACCTGTGTTATGCAGATGACACTACCTTGCTTGCTGAAACTGAAGAAGATCTGAAGTGCTTGCTGCAGAAGGCCAAAGATATAGTCTTCAACATGGACTGAAGCTCAACATCAAGATGACAAAGATTCTCACCACTGGACCAATTGGCAGCACCATGATAAATGGAGAAGAGATTAAGGTTGTCAACAATTTTAGGTTGCTCAGATCTACTATCAACACTCTTGGCACCAGCAGCCCAGAAATCAAATGGCAAATTGCTCTGGGGAAAGCTGTCAGAGTCCTCTCCAAAGTGCTAAAGAGTAAAGATGTCAGTCTGGAGACTAAGATGCACGTGATCCAGGCCATGGTTTTGGTAATTGCTTGCTATGCATCAGAAAGCTGGACAATGACTAGTTGTTGTTGTTGTTATGTGACATTGAGTCGCTTGCGTTGTACATAGGTATAACACCCCTAAAATCTTCTCTGTCTTGTGTCAGTCGCACCGTCTCTGACACACCTATCCTAATTACCCCAATCACTGAATCAATCCACCTCATAGGGGGCCTTCCCCTTCTGCGCTGTCCCTCCACCCTACCAAGCATGATGTCCCTCTCCAAGGACCTGTCCCTCCTTGCAACATGTCCAAAGTATGTTAAATGGAGCCTCAGAATCCTTGCCTCCAAGGAGCAGCCCAGTTTGACTCTTTCCAGGATGAATCTGTTTGTTTTCCTAGCAGTCCAATGACTAGAGTTGACAGAAAAATAATTGATGCCATTGAGTCATGGTTCCAGAGAGGAGTATTGAACATACAGTGGACTGACAGGAAGACAAACAGATTTACCCTTGAGAGAGTGAACCAGGATGCTCCTTGGAGGAAAGAAATTTGAAGCTGTCTCACATACTTTGGGCATGTGGCCAGGAAGGACCAGTCCCTGCAGAAGGACATCATGCTTGAAAGCAAGTATGGAGGGATAATGCAGGACAGGAAGACTTGAATGAGATAGATTGACACAGTAACTAGGGTAATGGGTTAGGTGAGTCAGAGACAGTGAGACTGACTCAGTATAAGGCAAGGTTCAGAGCTTTTGTGTATAAGGTCCACTATGAGTTATAGATGACTTGATAGCACATAACAACAAACAACAAATTAAATTGGTTGCAACAAGTATATTACAACTGTCAGAAAATTGAAGCTAGTGATACAGGAGGACTTGGAACAATATTAGATGTATCCTTACTGAAAGCAGAGGATACAAAGAAGAAATCTGGCAGGGCTCTATAGACTAACAATGTGGTTAATTAAAAAAATGTATTGATTATATTATGAAGAACGGAAGTTCTGGAACAAATGATGTTTTTTTTTCTCTCTCATGTGGAACCTGTACATAGACCAGGAAATAATCACTTGTACAGAGTAAGGATTCTGTGTGGTTTAAAATTAGAAAAGGTGTACTTCAGGTTTGTATCTTTTACCATGCCTGTTATTGTTATTGTTATGTATGTCAAGTTGGACCTGACTCATGGGTGACACTTCAGCAGGTTTTTAGAGGCTGTAAATTGCATGGGAGGAGATTGCTTTTCTTTCTCGCATGAAGGTGACTCGTTTGAACTTAATGCTTTTGTGTTGGCTGCACAACTTGTTACCAGTAAGACACTAGAACTTAGTAAAAATGTATATTGAGAAAAAAAGTCAAGAAATTGGATTATATGAAGAAGGTGATGGCAGCCTTAAATTGAAACCATATACTTTTGAATCTTTGGATGTGGTTTATTGCTGTTGTTATTTCAGTCTTCGGATTTGTACTTCTCTTCTGTATTCAAAAAGAGAGTGCATCATTTAACCAGAAAAAAAAAAGATAAATGTATGGATGTATCTGTAATTCATAAGCCAATATAAAAATGGAATGATATTTGAAATACCTCATGGATCTTTCATAGCATATTGTAGTAAGCTATAATTATTAAGTTTCTGTAATGTTTAATTACGTTGGAGCATTGCTTTTGAGTTTGTGTGCATTGTTAATATTATTTTCTTATTCACTTGTGACAGTGATACTCAGAATAAAGACAAAGATGACACTACAAAGAGTCATTCTCAGTTCCAGCAGTCCTTAAAAACTTGTGAGTAACTCATATTTAAAAACAAACAAACAACACACAACATTTGTTTCCATGTGTACTTTTTTATATAGAGATCATCACATATCATTAAATAAAATGATAACAGAGCGTGTTTGACCTGATATGCATAATGATGCCTTGTGGAAATTGCTGACTGGGGAAATTGAAATGCTAGTCTCAAGACTGTTTTCCTGATGCTTCTTTGGAACACGTTGTCATATCTTTCTCTCCACTGCTGAATTTTAATTTCCTTACAATTATTATATTTGATTATGTGGCCTTGTGTCACTATTTGCTTCTTCTGAACTGTGTAAACCTATTTAAGTGACAGGTAACACCAGGTTTGAAATGGTGAAAAAGACAAAGATTTGTCTTTCTCGATGAAATAACTGGAACTCTATAAATGATGAATAAAATCCTGGAGAGGAACATGGATATAATAGAAGTGCTCTGGCTATCTATAGTCACAGGGGGGGAAAAGCCCACTATTGTTGATTAGAAGCATAAAACAATATAAGGTATTGATGATTATTTTCGATTATTCTCAGTCACAGTTCTATAGTAATTGGGCTCAGTTAGGCAGCTCTTGCTCAGGGCCTCTTAGGCAGTTAGAGCCATATAGTGACTGGTGGTTCTGTTATCTCCAAGGCCTCCTTGCTCACATGATACTTGTTTGCTGGAACTTGAGCTGGAGTTGTTGGCCTGGATGTTGACACACAGCTGCTCTTTGTGGCATGGACTCCTTCCCAAGATGGAAATATGGTTCTAAAAACAGTGAGCCAGGAGAAAACCAAGGAGACATTGTGCAACATTTCCTGACCTAGTGTCAGAAGTCAGATCTCATTTCTGCTCCCTTCTAGAATTTTACTAAGATTAAATCTGTATGATTGGCTCATATCCAAGGCAGTATTAGATATATGTATAGATACTTTAAAAAATCATTAAAATGTGTGTGTTTGCACATGTGTGTGAAGTATGTAAATCAATCTTTTATTTCCATTTCAAATTGTTCAGTTACATCCTGTAAAGTGAAATATACATTACTGAGTCACAGAAAGCGGGAGATTTATGGGTAACTCCTTTACTACAAATATCTAGGCAAATTTTTAGAAGTAGGGAAGTTCCCTTGTAATAAAACTGTTTATTTATAAATCCTAATAGAGAAGAGTAATTGTATTTTTATGATACCATGAATGAGCTGAGATCATACATACTTTCATCAATAAATGTTCTAATTTTGAATGCTAATGCTTTGAAAAGTTCTTTAATTTTAATTGAAACAGCTACTTGATTTGAAAAACACTTATGAAATGATAAGCTAACATTTCCTCTTTTATGTTTTGGTAGCCATTAGTGCTAACTTTATCAGGGAGTTCTTCTCTTCCACACACTCTGTTTATTTGGAAGCAAAAGAATGTTCAAAACTAGAGATCTTCTTCCTCCCTTTTGACTTCCAAACACGTTATTGTGTCATCATTCTGAGCAATCAAAAGGTAAGAATATACCTGTGAGCTGTGCTTTTAGCATGCGTATCTACCATATGAATAAACAAAGAATTTGGGATTCTGCTCTGATGGTGTAGTCTGTAATATATTGCACTTCTAACCAAAAGGCTAAGCATCTCCATTGGCTCAAACCTCCCATCAGTTCTGAGGGAGAAAGGTGAGTAATCTCCTCCTGTTAAGATTTACAGACTTGGAAGTCCAATGGAAGGTCACTACTAAGAATCGGAACTGACACAGCTCCTCAAGCAGATCCCAAATCAGAGCCATAACTAAGAAAAAACATTAGTGATTACATTTCCAGAATTATTTGGGCTGGTTTTTTCCTACCAAAAAGATATATTAAAACTTTCCCTTGTACCCATAAATGTGACATTTATAGAAATGGGGTCTTTCCAGATATATTAAGAGGAAATTCTACTAGACTAAAGTAGGCTCTAGTCAAACAATTTCTATCCTCCTAAGTAGGAAGTTTGGACATAGACACTCATAAGGAGAATGTTGTGTGAAGGCAGAGGTAGAGATTAGAGTAGTGTATCTGCAAGTAAAGAATGCCAGGGGTTTCCAGTGATCACCAGAAACTAAGACATGGACAAAGGACAGACCCTCTCTCAGAAATGCCAAAAGAAACTAACCCTGCTGACATCTTGATTTTTTACTCTGATCTCCAAAACTGTGAGAGAATAAATTCCTGTAGTTAAAAGTTTTACAGTTTGTGATAATTTGTTATCACAATAAAATTAATATAAAGGAGTAACAAAAGTCAAGTGAATTGTTCTTGTTGTTAGATGCCATAGAGTTGACTATGACTCGTAGCAACCTTTTGAACAGCAGATCTGAACCTTGTTCTATCCTTCACCATACTCACCATCTCTGACATGCTCCAGCCCATTGTTTCAATCACTTGTCTCTCTTCTTCTTTCTTTTTTCTTCCTTCCTTCC